AATGTACTCGATATACAATATTTTAATGTACGTTTAAAAAAAATTTCAAGCCACAATAGCAAATGTATGACTTCTTAACTAGTAATTAAATAGAGTGCAAATAATAACTAATTTCTACAGGAGTAATTAATTAAAAATTTTACAAAATTAAATAAGCCACTCTAAAAAACGAAAACGTTAATTCTTCTTTTGCGCTGTTTTAAAAATTTGTAAAAAAATGTTGCGTTTTTCATTTTGCGGCTGATGATTCATTATCTAAATATCTCTGTATCTAATTGCCCATCGTTTCTGATAGTAATTAACCGCGTTCATTAAGGGATAGCGTACTTTATTGGAGTATCTTTATTAGCAGCTGTACTTATCACGAGTTGTATCGAAAGAGCGTACAAAAAAAAATCGCAGAAGAAAAATTTCTAAACAAGCATCTGCAAAAAAATTACAATAATTACATGCATATGTTAAAATTGATATACAATACAATATTGAGAAATTGATATATTTTTACTCTGCGTAAAATTAAGAAGCTTGGTTTCCATTATCGCTTATAATAATTAATTTAAAATTAATTGTATTAATTGTAAATGTCTTGTATCGATCTTACAATAATTATTTCTTTCACCCCTCGCATCTACTGAAGAAAAAAAATAATTTTTCAATGATATAATAAGATTAATAATTTGATTTGTTTATTGTAAATAAAAAAAAAATAATTATCTTCTTCTCGAAAATATGTAAAAGGAAAGATTTGAAATTCGTCAATAAATATGTTTCTCCAGAGAAGGGAAGGCGCACAGTCTAACTTGGTCGCTTGCTCGTTATATCTTATTCCTTGGCCCTTATATCGCTCGCATTCCAGCCCTTATTTATCGAAAGACACGTCGCCGACAAGCCGAAAGTCCCCCGATCGACAATCCGACAGTGAGAGGAACGATCCTGTTTCTGCTGGGGCTGGGTTTGCCCGCGCTCGGGGAATGCGTTGAAACATCGCGGCCACGAGCGCGGCCGGGATTAAATCTTGATGCATTGCCGTTATCCACGCGTGAATTTTTACGCTCGTGCATTAAGGCCCGGGCGAAAAAATTATCAATTTATTGCGCGCGCGGCGTCGATACGCGATAGCGTTTGCTCGGGCGCAACCCTCCCGGCGAATTATTAATTGCCGGCCCGATCGCAATTGTTGTTGCAAACGAGTTCCCGTGCTTGTTTGCGTTGTATAACCGTTCGTACTTATCGCGATCTGGCCGCCGCGATGTCGTTAGCTGGCGCGTCTCGCAATTATTCAAAATTTCGTTTTTCTTTCGAATCTAAAATTTCCCTCGCTGAAAAATAGCCTCGGCGATTAATTTGATTAAAAATCGCAACGAGCGATTTGCATTCCTCGCGCATTGATTTATGTCCGACTGGTTTCACGCGAGATCGGTATGCGTGTACATATTAATCCGACCGACTGATAAGCGACTAATCTATCTCCTATTGTTTGCGTTGCGATTACGTGATGTCAGCCTGTTATTTTAAGCCTGTCCATTCATGCCACGCGCATTTTCTGAAAGATCACCGCGTGTGTGGACGGAAGTACCGCGTATTCAAAGTCGAGCTGTTTAGCCGTTGAACAATAATTGGCGCGCGCACGATATTTATAATGGGATATCCTTCAGATGCGGAGGATAAGAGTCCAGTTTAACAGGCGGAACTGATGTTTCCGCGCCGAACGTTCGCGCGCCGTTACATCGGCTCTGGCTTTATGTAACCGTGCATAATGCACATTATTGCACCGAATTATTTATTTGCCATTGACCGTATGCTTATCGTGCGTGATATTAATACCGCAGGAAGTTTGAGAGCACGAATTCTTTGCCCAATTAAATGTCACATAACAGTAGGCCGCGAATTCCGCGAGTGCGTTGCATACTTTGATCATTCAATGTTGCAAGCTATTGTTGCTTCAGCCATTATTGAAGCGCGTTAGCATATTAATATTATAATGCGAATATCGATTTCAGATTTTATTTCACACGCCTCGCTGCATCCTACGATTCTTTTCGGTTTAAGTAAAGATATATCTGAGAGAAAACCTAAGCTTCATGCGCACATGTTATATAAATCATATTTAATAATTTGATATTAAAATTAATAATAATTGTTATTTTTTATTTTAATTAATAATATTATAAATATTAATTTTTATTTTAACTAGTAACTATTATTTATTTATGATATTTCTCGAATTGAGTATGATTTATAAGAGTAGTTTGTAGAAAGATAAATACTTTTGCAATAATCTGATCTTGATCATCCGATTCTTTACTTTCTTATACTTTCTTATACTCTTCTAAATTTGCTGTTTCATCTACGATGTTGGAAAGATATTTCTTTACGTAAACGCGCTACACGCATTTCGAGACATCGCGAACAGTCGTACAATTTCCTGTCAGACGAATGAACGCGCGTCGTTCGAGCAACAACGCGAGTGCTATTAAATTATACGTGCATAATGTCATACGTTGCCGGACCGCCACGGGATACGACTCTTCGCAAGGCCTTGCCCGATGGCGACCACGATCCTCTCTCCCGTCCGCTATCGTATACCTGTCATCGCACACGTAGACAAAGCATCCGCCGCTAATCGAGGACCGCTAAGCCGCCTTTCTTCTTCGGCGAACAGTTCGCTCGCGAATCAGAGACTAACGACTGCTCCGAGATCCTCTTCCTCGAATAACGTCGGAGCATTTAGGACTCGTTTGCGTCCTTGCCAAACGCCTACGTGCGAATCTTTGTCTCGCAGGCTTCGAGCGAGATTGTCAGAGATAGCAAAATTGTACCACTTTTGGCACATTATGTTGAAAACTATGTTGAAGAATATTGATTTCGCCAAAGGCTCTTGAATCCTCATTATGCATATTTCGAAACTGATTTTAAATCCGATAGAATCTGAATAAAATTCTCTCTATTTATAATTTTAAATATCGTGTGATATAAAGTACATTTAAAGAATTAAAATAGATACAAGATATTAGAAGTTGAAATGCATATGAAATTAGATGTAGATTTTTGTTTTGGAAAATTCTATCATAAATTATAGATTATCTAAAAAAAGGTTTCAGACAATTTTCTTTACAAAATTTTTAGTAAATTTATTAATTTTTAATTTAATTTGATGATAATAAAATCTTATTCTTAGATGATGTGTTTGGATTCAACTTTTATTGAATATATTATTATTGTCACGTTACAAAATTATTTCTTATTTATTCTATTTTTTCTTATAATTTTCTTTTTATTTATAAACTTAAAAAATCATCCAATTATAATTATAATTATTCTTCTAATTTATATGGGCCAATAATTGTTTAAATATATCATTATGAAAGTCTAATTTTATCTTATCAATCTTTTTATTTTTAATAATAATTAATGATTTATTAATTATCTTTCTCTATTTTTCTGGACTAATCTCTAACAAACAATTTAAATTCAAAATTAATTTTATTTTCTTGTCGCTATTTTTTCTTAATATTTCTTTATTTATTATTTATTTTAAAAAATTAATCTTTTAACTCTATTTATTTCTAAATATAAATTTCAAGAAAGCAATTACATTTTTTATTTCAATAAATTAATTTTTAATAATATTTTAAATTTATATAAATATTCACTAAGCAATGTAACAATTCTATCAATATTTTATTTACTTTTTTCACTCTTCTTCATTATTAAAATTTGCTATACAAAATCATTATCATTACGAAAAATTGATTAATTTATGAATAAAAATATCTTAGCTTTTTCTAATAACTTTTTAATTAAACTTCCGTCTCCTATTAATATTTCATATTTATGAAATTTTGGATCCTTTTTAGAATTCAATTTCTAGATATTCAAATTATCAATGGATTTTTTTTATCTGTACATTATTGCCCCAATACAAACTATACATTTAAAAGAATCATTCATATTATTCAAAATATCAACCTAGGATGATTATCATATTATTATTGTCACTTTTATATTATTGTCACGTTACAAAATTATCATATATTTCTTAATTTGATATTCTGAGTATGATTTGCAAAATGTCTGATGCATAATCGATACACAATAAACCGTTTTTAACTACCCTTATAAAAATAACTATAGAATTAATGCTGTCGTCGCCTAGTAGTCGTATCGATTCGGAGATATTATATTAATCCGAGATTAATATCAAGATCATGTCACGGATACGCGTCTCATCGCGCGTATTCCTGACAGTACAAACGCGCGTTATTCGCGTTACGGTGCGGTCCGGCTGCGTGAAATTGAAAGTTAGCGTGGGCCGATCGCTACTGCCCAGACCGGTCCAAGTTCGCTCGTACATTAAGTCCGTGATCCGGCCTGAGGAAATATCATTGGTCCGCGTTCGTCGAGTGCTCCTTAGCGGGATAGCGACGGGGGTGGAGATCGCTTCGAGTCTCGCACGATCCGGATATCGCGCAAAACAGGCCTGGCGTCACAAAGAATGTAGACACTCGTCTCGTTTTTCGCGGTTCGATATAATGTCACGAGATAAGAGGAACGTAATTCGCGTAATTTTTGCAATTCTCGCAAAAAAAAAAAAAGAACACGGTACTGACTCTAAATGTCTCGTTACATACGAGCGAAATTTCTCGATGATGAAAAAAAGCGACAGGCAAATTCCGACAGGTTTTACTTCCGTAACGGGCCACTGAAGCTCGTTGGTGCAACGTATTCTCTCACGTTTAGCTTCGGATCGACACATTAAGAGACCCGGTTGGTTCCCGATCCGAGACCGTCTTTCTTCATCGGTGTTGCACGACCGTGATCTGGAATCGGACCAATCGCCAAGCAGAGCTAGCTGATGTTGTTGGCGCAACGCTGACCCTGATTTAAATATTTATGAATCGCGGAGAGGACGCGTAGGAAATTCCAAGGGTCGAGGAGAGCTCCTCTTGTTTTAAAACGCGATAATTGGCGCCGTTTGAGTCTAATTTCCTTGATTACAGGTCGCCGGACAATTATTGGACACGGAGTTCCAGCCGACGGTGACGGCAACGTGCAAGGGCGGCTACATGACGATACGCGTCAATCTCAATCAGAGTTTCGTAGGCGCGGTCCACGCTCGGGATCATCGAACCCCGCAGTGCATGGTATCCGGCAACGGCACCACGCACGCCACCCTGGGCATCAACCTATTCGCGTCGCAGGACAGTCCCGAGTACTGCGGAGTCCTCGTGAACAACGTAAGGCTTCTATGATTATGGAAATCGTTATGCGCCAAGGGCGGTCGAATTATGGGACACGAAGAGCAGCATTGACTGCTCCTTAAAATTCCGGAAAAATCAGCCATATGAATTGAACGAGAAGTAACAAGGAATCAACTCGTTACATGAGTATCTTGCTGCGTAAACAGATATTCCGCTGCCCGAGGTGCATTCGCGTTTTCGCGGAGATGCATTTGGATTGAAATTAATATTCGCCTTTATTTATAACCGTGACAAGTTCCAGAAAATTAATTGTTTCGAGAAGGTTGGATATATGCTAATTTATCTAGCTGGCTGCTTTAAACGCCTTGAGAATAATATAAAAATTGGTCATACATGTATATGGAGATGACGATTTGCATTTGAATCCTTCGCTCTTCGCCGAGATGTTTGTTCTGCAAATGTAACGACTTTGTGTAGCCGAAGACCTTTCTCGGTATAATATAACTTTTACATACTCACATCCACATATAATTGAAGATTTACAAGAAATTCTTGTATATTTATTATTTTATTTATTAATATTTATTAATATTTTTGTACTTTTGAAAATAAAAATTTGTACATTTTTTTAATGATGAAATAATGAAATAATTCAGATATTGTAAGCGTGGGAAATATTTGATTGTTTAATATATTGTATTCTTCATCTTATATTTAAATATGCTAATATTACAGCACACAGAAGAACGTTCCATTCCCATTGCCGTTAGAATACATAAAACTCTGGAGCTGGCGGACGACAAATTTTATGTCATTACGTGTGGAAAGGCAGGCTTCAAAAATGCCAAGTAAGCTATAAAATTTAATTATAAAAAAATAATCCGTAAAAAAATAATATAATACTTTATAAAAAATCTGCAACATAATCAATAAATTAATAATTTAAAAAATTTGATTCCAAGATTTTTTTAAATTTAAATATTTACAATTATTTTCTGTGATATTTCTTTCATTATTGCATATCTCATATTATATTTCGATAGTTTTATATTGGATAGTTTTTCACTAGCAGATTATTAAAATGACAAAAGCTATATTGATGCTGTATTTATATTGATTTATGCTATTTATGGATTTTCCATAACACTACCATTAATAATCGATATACGATAGATTCTGTTAAACATGCAACAAATAGAAGTAACTCGTACCAGCGGCTTAGTACTATCACAAACAGCTATCTAAACGGGAAATACCATTCGCATGGCTCTTAATCAATCATTAACAGCCGCGCGTTTTCTAATCGTTCACTGATATTTGCCATTCGACCGTACATTTTCGCTTTTGCATGCTGATCATATTTAAAGATACTTTTCATTTATAAGAATGTTGAGATATCTCGCTCGATCGATCGCCTGAATAGAGTTGGATACAATTGAATGCTCTCTTGTAAGACTTTAGTATTCCGCAATATCGGTTTTGCTAATGATAAATAAAACTGCTTAAAGATTCCATGTAATATTCATTATATAATACAACATCAAGACATGTATCATTATGAAATATTTCTTTGATTTTAAAATATTAAATATTAGATTAAATATTTTTTTTTAAATATTAGATACGATTATATTACTATTCATTTGCCATTTATTGTTTTTAAAATTAAAAAATAATTTCCGATATCTTAAGATACTGACATTTTGTTTACTTATATGTTCAGAGAAGGACCGTTCGAGCGACAATAGAATTTAATTAGATGCAAGAATTAGATAAACGGAACGATAATTTGTATGCCCATGACGCTGCGGCTTACCGCAAGTCATTTTTTATTCCGTGCAAGTGTAAAATGCGGTCAATATTTAGTATACAATTGTCGTCGAATAAGATACTCCGCAAATGACAATTATTTTTTTGTCGGAATAATGTTATATATATCCTCGAAAAAAAAATTCTCTTGAATCAAATCGTCTTAAAAGTCGAAATATGATCCATTGATTTTTTTTATCTTACCTAACGTCAAATATGTATTGATTTTTTGACATCTTTTTTGTCATATTTATATGTGCACTCACTTTGATCGCAATTTCCATAAAGTCCACGCGCCCTGTCATGATTCTAATAATAAAATATACTATGAAACGCGCATAAAGAGAGAAATCCTCGAGTGCTTAAAATAAAACAACGCCTTTTGCATAGAAATGAAACTTCGCTGGTCTCCTTGCGCCTTCTGGATGAAGGTGTCAGAGTACAAGAAGCTATATACGGTCACAACTACACTCTGCGTGCCGAGATTTCACGTCCAGACGGTTCGTATCTTATATCCCATTCCGTCGTTTTGCTTTTACGTCCAGTATAGATACGGACACAAGTCCAGTTAGTAGTATTTCTTCGCGGGATCTTTTATTTTTGAAGCACTATATCGTTAAACATTCAATTTGCAGGAATGTACGGGATTCGAGTCAAGAATTGCTTCGCATTCAACAAGCTCAATTCCAGTGTACAGCTTATAGATGAGAAAGGGTAAGTGTATGATAAATTTTTTCAAAGAATTAAGGATATATTATCAAATTTTATGCTTATCGCAAATATTTGTGTTATAAATATAAATGTTAGATATTTACATATTTGATATACAAATGATAGTGTACATGCATTCATTGAATATAATTAATAATTTATATTGAAATGAATCAACAATATAATTGATTTTTTTTCGTTTGAAAATTCACAGAGAAGAAATAACTTTCATGATAAAATAGTTTGCTGTAAGAGTTAAAATCATACTTATTGTTAACAGTAATTTTATTAAAATTTTAACTACTGACAAAATCTTTATTTTACAAAAGGAAAACTCTCAGGACTTCTTGGTTTAATTAAAGTTTCCTTCTTTCTCGAAGCAACTTTAGAACTTTGCAAATAACGAGATTTAAAAAATAAGTAATTTTAAATTAATTTACATTTATTATTAAATTAATTTCGATTCTATTTCTGCTGCCGTAGATCGATAGAAAAGGTATTTTTTTATTAACGTAATGTCGCTTTGATGATTGAAACGATATACTAATTGTGGCTCTTTTTATCGCGAAGCTGTCCCGTGAAAGTTCGAATGACGAAATTCATATACGATCGAAGCACCGGTATAGCGGATGCCACATTGTTCTCGATGTTCCGGTTTGCCGACAGTTCAGAGGTGCATTTCCAATGCGACATCGCCGTGTGCAGAGGTAAACTGATCCGTTGAATGATTTTCCATTAGCATTTCATTACGAATGTGGGTTATAAAATGGCATTCAACTTTTACGACTCGTTGGTATGTTGTGACATATTGTGTGACAGATATTCCCGTTGATTTTATGAGGAGATGCTCTTTGCATTTCAAGTTGTAAAAGTCTCAATCTTCTTAGAATGAAAATTTTAACAATTAACGTCACATTGATTTAGTTTTAGTGTTATACTAAAATAAAATGCCAAATTGCATATAAAATATTTTAATAGTATTTTTTTGCTAATCTATTCTTTCCTGTAAATTATTAATACTTTCATTAATAAATGCGACAAATTTCTGAAATATAATTATTAATCGACAATATATGAGCTCGATAATATTTCTTGTCGCAATATAATGAAACAAAAATTTATGTTAGGGAGTTGCGGTACTCCTGTATGTGAAGGAGACAAAGAGGAACTAATAAAGGGTGGCTCCTCCCCTAACGGACAAAGTGTTAATGGCGAAGAAGGAGTGCTACTTGCTGGAACAAGCGTTTTTGTTCTTCAACCAGGCGAAAAACGAAGTAAGTAAAATATTCCGTAAAGAAGTTCACTATTATTGTAATTTTATACGTGTTTTGTCATTTTATATTATCATAACATTATGATATTTTATTCTTAACACATTTTTATTTTCATTTTACATATAAGGAAAACTAAAGTATTAATTTTTAATTAATTAACAATCTTTCGTCCTTGCATTTTTCTTTCTTTTCTTAAATTTTTTTATATCCATTAATATTGATTAAAAATTATTATAAAACGTAACATATAACAAATTAATAACATATCAAGTTGATACCACTTTTTATCGATCAAAGTGAACTACTTCTTGCGAAAGTAAAGTGAAATGCTCTGCAATACTGAGATACGTTCTGTAGTTAATGAAAAAGAATCTAGCAACTCATAAGCAATATATATTGAAAAATATAAAATAATCAATTTCAATCATTCTAATATTAAAAAAAATTGCTTCTTCTCGCTCGAAAATTCATATAAGAAAAGCTTGAGAGGAGTTTATGAGAAGATTGATGAAAAAACAGTCGGATGAAACTGGTTGCAATCAGCTGTAGTTTTGACATATGGTCGTGACAGGAAAAGTGTATAGTTATGTCGAGAATGCGTGGTCTGTTTTTTTTTTCTTGATTTCCTTATTGCTCCTCTATGTTGACGTTTACATCTTTATCCCTTGCAAGATGGTTGTTTGTCGTCCCTCTTCGTCATCTGACCTGCATTTGGATGTCGTCTCGACACGCAACCTATATCCGGGGGCTGTCATCAAATTATAATGCGTGTTCAGATATAAGTGATCTTATTATGCTTCTTACACTTTGTGCTTAGATTTAAATTTTTTTTGTTTTTATCAGACTTTTACTCAATCCTGTGCTACAATTTTCCAGCGGTCATCAACAATATCTTCGCGAATTTATGTCATTAAATTAATTATGTCGCACACTAAAAATAAATAGATCATTTTTCTTCTCGTTAAGTCTGGATAAAACGATGTACACAATGTAATTTTCAAAATAAAATTAATAGTTATTCTAAAACTATTAAAATGGATCGAAAAAGATTAAAAGAATTTATATGAAAAATAATTACGTAGCCTATATTTTTGACTATCCTATAATTGACTCTTTGTATTTACATAGAACAGCTATTTTTTTGATTCAGAGTCATTTGAACAAATGGAATTTTTACATCAATATTATCGGTATTTCCGTTACAAATACATGAATACCTAACGCAATACGAAAATTATATAATTGTTTCTCTTTGTTCGCAGTTGTACAAACATTGTACGATGATGGCAGCGTGCATCCGCTTTGGCTTCTGTGGCTGGCGGTGGCACTCGGGATATTATTCCTCATCATGCTCATTATCAACATATTCCTATGTTCGGCAATGACCTGTAGCTGCACCCGGACCGACATTATCGAGAAGGAGCCGTCAATCATCGAGGATTACGATCCATACCGCAGCTGGCACGGCTCTCAATACGGGTCGAGGTTTGACTTAATTATCTCCTCTACTAGCCACCCTCTCGCGTGACTCGCCGACAAAGTATCTCTCTCTCTCTCTCTTAATTGCATCAATAATATATGATTATTAGTATATAACCGTGTGTCGTCTACACACACGCTTCAACACTTCAACACTCGGGCCCAAGTAGCTCGAATTGATCATTGATGAGCTAATGTATCCCCGTCAGATTAAAAGTGATGTAATTGATATATATTTTTTGATGACTGATTGCATGTTTGATGATTTTCTCTTTTTTTTTTTACATCGTGTTATCGTGAAGAATCTTCAGTTTAAATTGCTGATCTGGCGAAAATGACAAGTATCGAACTTTCTGAGTTGTACTTAAGCAGAATCACGATGATGGCAATTAATATTACAGATTGCATATCATGACGCATGCGATTGCGTGCCTGAACGAAACCTTTCTTGTATTCAGGTATTCGTTAAACGGCAAGCAAGGATACGCCTCCGGGGGATCTACCATGAATTCTACGAGGTCAATATCGACGAATAGCGATCACTATGCGATAGTACATTCCCGACCAGGAAGCAGATACTCTGGTCCTGGACAAAAACATCATCATCATCACAGAGGACCGCCGTCCAACATCGGTTCCCATTATTCCGGAAAGTGACGTTTCCATTAGTTTCATTTATCAAAAACTATAGAACTTCATTGTTTTCATTAATGTTACTTTAATTAAACATGAATTTTACGCGCCATTAGTGGCATTATTTCAATCGCACGAACGACAAGGAATCGATTTAAATGTAAAATATCACCGATACAATCTTAGGATCATTTTTATATTTTTAAAGCATTCAATCAATTAAATGATATCAACACTTTCTGTCACACTCGTTTAAGAGGTAGACTTAAGTCGATGATCATCTATTTTCTGCGTTGAGACAAATATAATAAAAAAGTTATAAATAATCAGCGATTTAGAAATTTAATACAATAGCTTGTCCATGATTGACAACGCGTAAATAAATTTTATGCGATGCATATCAAGAGAGTGTTAATATCTAAAATTTGATATCTAGTGTGTGTGAGATGAATACTAATTTTCATATCTTGCCACAATTTGAAATTTTCCGTCTATGAAAAATAGAATAAAATTATATAATGTTGATATACCTTTTCGTTTCTCTTGCAAGAAAGTTTTTATTTTATACTCTTGCACTTGTTAATAATATCAACGATAATAAGCAACGCGTGATCGAATGCGGATCAAATATATTAACGAGATAAATTTTTTTATGAATAAGCGCGATTATATAAAACTACGCATCGATATTTTTATATTTAGCTTTATCATTTGTGAAATGATTCTCGTGTGCTAGACTGCGTATATGTATCATAATATATATAATAGTCATAAGCATAGGCACTAGCACTTAAAATTGCGCAACATTGATCCTAATTAAGAGAAATACTAGTTAAATGCTTTTTGTACATAAATCCATTAATCTAAAAACACATGTGCCTTTTATTTCTACCGGCAAATATCTTCGGATATCCAAATAGGAATCCAAATCTTCAGTAATCCATGAATACTTTCTTATGAGCATAGAAGATAATAAGAAATAGCATTAATATTTTCATTAATATTAAAATTGAAATTTTTCTCTAGAATGACGTTAGGCTTTTCATGTTTGATAATAATACAATCACGATTTCTTTTTTCCAAACTTTGTTTATAAATCTTCATCTATAATGTTGTTTTCATCCAATTATCCGAGATATTTAAATTAAATTACATTCCTTTTATTAATGTCTCGACCGTAATGACGCGTCATGCGATTAACTAATTTCCTAGACTTGTGATTTTTTTCAGAAAACGATCAACAATAATAACTATCTTTGTATCTTATAATTTCTGAAATGATATAAATTCTACGTAAATAATATACGTCGAATAAACGTATTATTAAATGATTAATAATAATAATTTGTTATAAAGCGTGCACATATTATTTTTTTCGCGTTTCCATTTTTCTAGAAATATTTTCTCTACTTTCATATTTCATTACTCTCTCTTTCTTTTTCTCTTTAATAAACTTCTAACTTACTTAGCTTTCATTTTAAATAAGCGGATTATTACTATGCGAGAGAATTATATTACATTTTCTTTGCAAAACATATTCATTGTACATATCCATTTTGCAAAGCATGTAAATTGAACGGATTTTATATAAAAGAAATTTAGAATCCATCATGTATGAAGATTAAAGAACGAATCATTAAGATTTTTTTGAAAGAGGAGAAATATAAATACAATGGAAATATTAAATGATAGATTGCTATTTTTTTAAAACGATTTATTATTAAAAATACATTTTTAGAATAAAATATACGAGAGAATAGTCCGCAGAGAGCGCGCAATAGACTTATATGCATCTATACATGAGCATAGCTCTCTCTTTCTCTTATTATATCTATCTTTCGTTTTTTAAATACTTTATATAAAATACGAAAACTCTCATTTGCTTATAAATGGTAACTGCCAGTATGTATACGGGTTTAGTAAATGAGTAATTACACTGAGAGAAGGGATTATTAGCTACAGAAATACTCTTCAATAAAAGGAAAAAATCATCAGCATTACAATATTTACAACAATCAATGTGTACCTGCTTGAAGAATTAATCAGAATGATAGACTGGAATGATAGACTATATCCTTACTAATGAGTGCATTGTTTTTAATAAGATTCTCAAATTAGGAAGTCAAATTAGACAATAATTTGCGTGCAAAAAGTTTCAAAATGTTATTATTATAAACTATCTCGATAAAAGAGATTTTTAATGAAAACAATTGAACAAGAATTGTCCTAAAAAATGTATAAAGACTTTTATAACATTCTCTGTAAAAATCATTTCAACCACAGCCTAAGCAATTTAACTAGTGTTATCATAAGTTGATCGCATATAATTGTTTAGCTGTCTTTTAAAATTTGATTAATACGTTAGACTTATACTTTAGGTTAATATTTTACAAGTATAATGGAGCAAATATAGTGTCAATTAGGCCTAATTGTAGTAATATCACGTGGTATAAAGGGTTCTACTATATTTTTGAATAATATATATAATTAGTTATCATAGTTTTTTTATAATAAACTCATAAAATTTATTAAATAATTATTATTCTTTTCATAATTTTATAATAATTATTAGATATAGCGATATTAAACGGTATATCAATTGACTTGATTATCTCTAATATACATATATAATATAATAATATGAATATCATGATTATCTCCGAACTGAAGCTCTATTTGTAAGTACTCTGCACTTCTCATTGCCTGCGAATGACGAAGCATGATTGATTGTCGATGATGAAATTGTAATTCTCGACCACTTATCGTCGAGCCACTGAATTTCAGCGTCGCTTATAAGAAAACGATCGACGTATTCGTGCTACAATTAATTAAACCGCAGGTACGTGTTCTCCATTATCTTTCTTGTAAACTATCTCTTACTAAGGATAAAACAAGGAATATTGAAAACAGCGTATATTTGCTATCCCACAATCCGTGTCCGTTCGAGAGTAGACCGATATACTCTGTTAGTCTATGATTGCTTGAATGAGAGTATTGAAGATATATCCTCTTACACGATGAATTTGCGTCGGTTTCTAAATCGCGCTTCTTAATCCTAGGAGCGTTTTTCTCATCGAAAAGAAAAACGAACGGCAGATTCGAGAAAGCGATAGATTTAAAAACGGACACGTTTCGCGCAATTCGATGGCTTAATGCAAGAAGTTTGCAATTTAAAATAAAGCTCTATTTAAAAAAAATCATATATTCCTTTTTTCACACCTTAACTATTAACGATTTATGCTATGTTAAATACGATTATACTATTTATTTTTATAATTATTTTAATTTTTTTGCGCTATATTTTTCTTTTCTATTAAACCATCGAATCATCGAGTGAGTAATTTCGGTAATTTTAATGAAATGAATTAGAAGTTTATCTACAGTATAAAGCACACACGGGTGAGTGTGCGATCATCTCGTATGTGTAGTGTGTCTGTCTGTATATTAGTCTATGTATGACTGAATGATTTAAGCGTTAATTGTGTACGTATTAATGTAAAGTATTTTCCATCGAAAATGGAGGCACCATGAATAAACGTATAGCTATATTGTTGCGCTGTATGTATAGCGCGACATTTTAATCATAAAGTGTCAGCCTGCATTTGAATATTTTCAATAGAGTAATCTTGGGACGCTGCGTTCGAAAGTTAATACACAAAATAAAAGCGAGAAAATAAATAGTGTATCAATATACGTTGATGTCTCGTGCAAGAGAAGAATGATAATCGTATTTATTAAGGAATTCGCTGCCGCGTTAGCTTCAGATCATTTCGTAAGATTTTAATAATCGCGAATTTTGATACTTTTAATATAATTCTAGGCTGATGGAATGAAAACGTATTTACTCCCCTAAGAAGCTATTTCAGGAGCCTGGATCTGTCGAAGGAAATTTGTTGCCATTTTCGATCTTGTGTTATCTTTCACCAACCTATTTTTATATCTCTTTCTTTTAAAAGAGACGAATGAAAGCATCTAGTGAAAAAATCGCAAGGATGATTAAAATGATAAATCAGGGAAAGTAGTGTCGAAAGATTTGCGATTAATAGAAAAAAATTAAGCGCTATTAATTTAAATAAATATTATGCCTCTTGTATTCGTGCACAAAATTAATTTTATATTATTTTTAGACCTTTTTATAACACAATATCTCCAAATATAATTTTATAAATCGTATTTCGCGATCGTACAGGTCCAGCCTGCTGGAAGGAGCCATTTATCCTCGTGATCCACTACTAATCGAATCGCCGTCACAATTATTCGGCGATCATTTACACCCATTACTTCCGCATTAACATCTCGTTAAGTGTAGTGACTATTTCTACATTATTTACAGAGCGTTACAAACGTTAATCAGTAACATTTGTACGTTTCCAATTATAGATGCTTCACTCGCCACATCGGGATTTGTGCTTCGCCGTTATATTTGCGAAGCAACAGCATAAATATTCAGTAAATATTTCTAGGGGATGTCGAAACATGTATTACATGATATGTGTTTTATAATAAAACAGATTATTGTGAATTATATACGATCAGGAAATATGAATGTATCTTCATTGTATGGTAATGCAAGAATAACAAGGAATGTCGTGCAGAAAGAATGACAGTGTGACGGATGAAGCATCTGAAACATAATAAATTATCGCCAACGTAATGTCATCATCGTCTCTGAGAACGCTCGTCGTTCCGCGACGCCCAGCAGGACATCGATCACCTTTTGTTAACCCGTTGCCTCACTAACATCCTCAATGTATCTAACTCGCCTTGCCATTTCCTTCGTTCTCAGCCGGATTATGTAAGGTAACGGGTCGACACCCGTCGAATTCCTTGCTCGCGATCGCAATCTCGAGCAGAGCACCTAGAGTACCCTCGAGAGTAAAACCGACAAGGTGTTACGTAGTTGAAAGAAAAAGAATATTACAGGCTCGCGCTACTTTACAGGAATATGCTACAAGTATCGTATGGACTTTGGAGCGTCTCTCTCAGCTCGCCGCTCATCAGTCAATCATGCATCAGTGGAACGTGTTCAATGATAATGGCGGTGTGATGGGCGGCAAATGATCACCGCAGACCGGGAAATTCGGTGGTATCGGCGGCAGATCCGCGTGCGTCCCGACATGAAGGATCAGATTCATGCCAATCAATATGTGGAACAAGAAATGGCAATGGAACAGCCAGTATCCTTGAAAGAAGGAGATATTCCAATATTAATATAATTTTCGCTTATAACTTCTAATGATTAAATTGAAAGTCAAAATAATAATGGTGTGTCTAAGTAAATCATTTAGGTAAATTTAATAAAAGCAATGGCTATTGACTTTATCTTTGACAACATTGGGAAGATTACTTTTAGGTCTGTTCGCAGAAAATTATTTCTAAGATCGTCATAAAATCAATACCAACTTGAAAACTAATTGTAAGACACTTTACATGCATAATATTTTTAGACACACAACACAGTTAGTGTATGCAAACTTTTGCAATTATGCGAGCAGCTGCAAACGGAAGCAGTTTGCATCTCATCAGACTAATGCGCGAGAAGTTTTCAAATTGTCGTTGTGAACTTACCCGGGTTATCCGCACGGAAGCGGAAGATGACGTAGCCGTTGTTGGGAACGGCGATGGTGTCCTTGGCAGGTGGCAAGTTGAATTGTCTGTGCAGAAGACCTCGCTTATCGAGATCGAGGGCGTGCTTCAAATTGATCTTCTTCACATTCCTGTCGGGAGAACGGCCGATGCCGATCACGTTGAACGCGTATCCGTGCAAGTGGAAGGGATGCGACAGATTAGGCTGTTGTACTGTAATCAATCGTACACAAAGGAATCAAAATCATGTTTTCATCAAAGCGTAATAAAATGAAAATTCTATTGTAATAAAAAAAATCTTGTAGAATGAAACTTTTATATTTCTTTTAATGTCATTTATACTTGAGGTGTATTTTTCTGCTTAAAGTGGAAGAGCTTTGCGTGACAAGAGCAAGATTATACCACAAACATACCTTCGTCTACGAGAACCACCTCGACGACCGCATTATGCGGAATATCGACTTGATGCGTGCACATGCAGTTGGCGCCGCAATCAGCTGGTCTATTATCACCGTTGCAGAACTGTTCAGGTGGGATGTCATCGATCTGCGAGATTGGCGGCGCCGGAGGGAACGTGAATGAGATCTCGTCCACGAGAGAAATCACGTGGTCGCCAGTAGGTGCAACTACGGACACGAGATAATACATTTTTATTAGAATTTTTTAGTAAATGTATAATAATGAGTGATAACATTAATTTCTGAATAAATGAATTCCACGGAAAATTTCGCGCAAAATTTTCGTTAAAAAAATATCGACTCCAAGCTAAAAATAAAAAAAATATGCGATTGAAAGATGCGGCGATAATTTCAAAACACCCTGTACGATAATACAACACCGGTTTGTATCTTCCAATGCTTATCGAATCTAATTATCCCGAGGAAAAAGTACCACCACTTATAGCAAATATACCCTGCGAAGTATCTCGCGTATAATCCTTGGAGTTTCAAGGCTTGTCGAAGATGTTGCATGAACGCGCGTCTGAATTATATCTCTTTTTAAGCATACCTTCCTTCGAAGGCCTTCCTTGGAAGGCCGTATTTATATCAAACGAAAATCAAACGCAATCATCGCGTGACGCGTTCGCTTATTTTTTTGCGAATTAAATCAGCTATTAACGCATCCTTACCAAGGAAGCGATTGTAGGTCTGCGGCTGGAAGACCTCCTCGGGTCTGTAGAACAGGAAGCGGAAAGGTAGGAAGATCTTCACGTCGGGGCGTTGCTGGAGGATACCCTGATCGATGTGTCGGGCATTCTTCAATTGACTCACGCAAACTGCATCCTCGCGCGGTCGGTTGCAAATAGCATCCAAGGGATTGAGAACCTGAAGAAGAGAATATTCGATCTTGACCAAAACAACAACAACAAAATCGAGTCCTTTAAAGAATACTTTTGAATTTAACATAGTTGAGAATTCCTTCAATATTTTTTACCCGCATTATTTATTTTTTAAATAAAATATCTAGCATGAATAAAAGGATTTTTTATTTATAGCATATTCTATTAGATATTTGTAATCTATATAGTTGCATTAATTCTTTTAAAAATCTTTTGAATTATAATTCACAGTATTCGTTGTCATTTTTTTTCAAATAAATTATTCGATGAGAGATTTTTTTATAATGTACATTTTCTTTTTTAAATTATGAGAGAATCGCTAATCTATCGATTGAAGATAACATAAATTTTTTTTGCGTTGTTATATTTTGTTCATTTCAATATCACGTATTAAAATCGATACCTTATATTTCATTAAAAATTATATAAATAATAATTTAAATTAATAATTATAATTTATTTTTTAATTATGTATCCATATGAATTCTTTTTTATCTCAAGCATGCAAACAGATGGCAGTGCATATACTAAGATAAAATTTTATAAGATTGAATAAATAAAAAAAAATTCATAAGGTTCTGAAAATAAAACTTTGTTAATAGAATGGGCGTAAAAGAATTTAATTTCAGCTTTAGCTTCGATCGTAAAAAAAAATATATGGCATGCAACAACTAATTAATAATTAACGATAATCTTGTAGAAGTAGAAATATATTTACAACGCCCTGTGGAAGACCAAAGTCATACGTAGGCGGTGCAGTAAGCGGTTGATAAGGACCACGAGCATATCGCAGAATACCCAGCTGCTGGGCACGTGAAATTCCGCATTCTCCGAGCGAACGAAGTTGAATCCAATAAGCGCCGATAGGCTGATCAGCATTTATGACGAAATCGTAACGTTCGCCTATTAAAGAAACGTAAAAATGTTTAACGCAAAATCAACGGAATCAATTTTTGAATTATTTCATTAATAAGGATATCAGGATACATTATTAAGATATTCATCATGTCTGATATTGACTATTAGGCAAATAATCTTTTTTGACATTTGACAATTTAATTTCTTTATTCGTAATTTGTGCCTTTATGATATATCGAAAAATATTTTACTTTTTGCAAACTTTTTGTTTTTAAAATTTTAATATCATAAAGCTTTTCATTTCTCCAAATATTATAATTATTTTTTTCATTTACCTTGCTTACTTAAACGATCAATTTAATTAACTTAGGCAAAAAATTTAGAATCAATGTGGAATAGATCGCTTTACCTGAAAATGAAATTATAGTGTTCACTTGTATTGGTTGAACTGCTTCACCATCGGTGGCGATGAGGGTGAGAGTATGACCCTCGATTGTAATTTGAGAGGGGCATACTGATCCAAATGAATTAATCAGTCGGAATCGATAACGACGACCAGAAGTTATCGTGAACACTTCGAGCGGCGTGTTGGTCATGAAACCGGTATTAGGATCCTGCATTGAACAATGTACGACATATTAAAAAATAAAAACATGATTACAATGCAATTATCATCTTCTACAATAATAAAAGTCAAAGTTTATCGAGCAAATTTTGCCCGCAATTTTCTTTAGACGTACTTATACTGATTACTTTAAATTTTTACTATTTTTTCTCATTTGTAGAAAAATCTAAAAACGAATCGACATAAATTGAAGTTGGTGCTTATCTGATGATATTAAATAATATATCATCTTTATTGAAAATCAATTAATAATCAAAATAACGTACTCTAAATTGACCTTTCCCATTGATCAGTGCGCTTTCAGGTGCTTGACCGACATTGACTGCAAGACGACCTGGATAACGTTCAACAGCACTCTCGTGGAACCAGTCGCTGATAAGCGCTACGTGCGTGGTTAAATCGTAATCGTATAGATTGCTATTAGGATCCTTGCTTGGCGGTTGCCGGATTACTACGCTTCCATAGAGACCATCTATCTTTTGCATGCCAGTGTGAGCATGCCAGAAATGTGTACCCTCATTGCCGGCTGTCCATTGATATCTTCACGTATCACACAATTATTTCATTTCGTGAATCTCCAAAGTTTTTCGTTTTTTTTCGAGTTATAACAAATTTAATAAAATATAAATAATAAATAAAATAATAATAAAATATAAATATAAATAATAAAATAAAAAAAATTTTTTGAAGCCTTATATTAAAGTATACACTTAAAAATTATATATTTTCCTCTAGAGATAAAAATGTTTTTTTAATTGCACGAAAAAAGCAAGATCACGCGTACCTAAATGTACTGCCCTCTTGAATGGGACACTGTGTCACGTAAGGTACACCATCATAATATTGAGATCCTCTTTGCCATACTCCGTGCCAATGAATTGTCACTTCCATTCCCTCAATACGATTTTCCACGTCAACAACAACTTTGTCACCCTGGCATACCTGAATACTCGGGCCAGGAATCATTCTGTTCGCGGTCAAAATACCTCTCTCCACTCCGTCCGCCAGGACACACTGACACTCGCTCCACACGGCATTGGTTGCATTTGGTGTGCATACTTGACACGCTCTAGAAATTTATACAACTTGCAACGATACTAATCACTTGAGCAATCCATATATTCTAAGAGAATGAGATTATTCGAAAGTTAATTTTTCAATTAAAAAGATATTTTCATAAAAGAATAATTCTTTATAATTTTTATAAATAAAATTTTTATCAAATAATTATTTTATAATTTTGTAAATAATCACTTCATAATTTTGTATAAATCATAAATAAATAATAAATAAATAATTAGATTAATTGTATAAATCATAAATAAATAATAAATAAATAATTAGAATTTCTAACATTTGTTATCTCTCTTTTGCAATTTCCATCATCGTTAAAGATTTAAATCATTTCGAGATCTCTTGCAGTGATGTACTTACGCTCCGAGTACGGTATAATACTCGAGTGTGAAGTGATAGTAGCATATCCTGGGCGGTTCGCTCTCGCGGCAAGCACGAGCGCACTCGTCCGGTGCCGAGAGCGATGGATTTCGGCGCAATTCGGCAGTGGAGCGCTCATTAAAATTAAGAGGCCGCGTCCTCGGCGGCCTTAACGTCACCCCCCGAGTGCCGAGATTGTCGATGCCGCCGAAACCGCTGCGAAACATACCGCTAGACGGGTGGGTTTGCACCAGGCCATGGGCCGTGGGGAAGAAAGTCGCGCTATCAGTCTGAGAGAAGATATCCGTTTTGAGAGTGGGACTCCAGTATGAGGACGACCCCGATTGATCTGCCATTGTCGATTGATCTGCAGTTCCAATCATTTTTTTTAGTTGATTTTTCATATTTAAAATATATCTTACAAGTTAATAAAATTAAGGAAAAGAGATAGATCTTTATAAAATGTCAGAAAAAATTAATTCTTAATATTTTTTTTGAATATTTAACTTTAATATAGATTATAGATTAATTATTTATGAGAGAAAGAGACAGGATACTATTCTTAAATTAATTATTTATTGAATTCACAACATGCAAAGCAATTAGTTATTCATATGGATAAATTAGTTAGATTATAATAGAAAATAATCTTCCAGGAAAATCTGAAGGAAGAAGCAATAGAAGATAAAATTTGTATTTAAGCATTTAATTTTGTTTTTGAAACAAGATAGATTTCAAAATTGCGATATGATTAATCAGTTCCTTATTATTATTGATTTTTTGCACGATTGTTATATGATTGTTATATGATATCGTTATTTTATCGTAAGCAGTTTCGTAATCGTATCATTACGAGCGTTCTCTTTTTCTGCTTCTATTTTCGTATCAATTAGTCCTGTAAATACACGGAAGAGTCGGGAAAAGTTGAAGTTTCAGTTCGTTACGTGTATAGAAATCGATAGTATTTCAATTTCAATCGATACATGAAAAGCGTAACAATATCAGAACTCTCGAGATCTCGAGTCGAATATTTCCAGAAAATATCTCAAGTCTAAGAGTCTCCTTAGCCTTACAAATGCAGTTTGTAGTCTCGCAATATTTATATATTTATACATTTCAATCGGCAGCTTTAAAAATTATTTTGCGAAGCAAGAAATATTATACAAATTTTCGAGTAAAGAGCTGAAATTTTTCTGGCACACAAATGAGAGAGCAAACTTAATAAGCGCACTTAAATATAAAATGTGGGGACCTCAATAAGATTTATTTGTTGCGCGAATATTAGCATTCTTTTACTTACAAAAAATTAATTAATGAATTGTGATCAATTTCGATCGGCCTCTTGTTGACAATAATCCATTTCAAAATAATCAGTTTCTTTTCTATGGGATTTTTTGATTTGTATCGAAGAAAAAAAAGGAAAAACTACTGGCGCATTGTAGTCACGGTTGAAGCTAGCAATGGCATGCTGCGATAGAAATACTATTAATAAAGATCAGCCATTGTGCTGTCTACGATTTATCTTGCAATTTTTCAAGTATGACGTCTAAATATTTCATGCTTCAATCGTAACATTTCTTCGAGTAGGTATATATTCGAGAACGATGTAGCATTCAATAGATGATTTAAAATCACATTGTATGCGCTTTCTACTAATATTATGTTAGCTCTGATTGAAGCAATATCTCAAAATGAGAAAAATTTGCAATCATATTTGTATAGTCTTTAAAAAAATTGTATATTTATTTTCTTAAAAATAATAAATCTTGTATATAATAAAATTATATATTATTATTAAATATTTAAATATAATAAAATTCACATATATACATTATGATTTATATAAAAATTTATATATTCATGAATCGAATGCATCACCATTTTATGCCTTTCTTTGATAATAAAAAAAGTGGAGATGTCCAAGACGTTTAAATCATCGCCCATTTTTACAAGTAAAATTTTATTAAATACCTTTTTTACGAATCGTTTTCCTTCATACTGTCTTCTTGAAGTTGTAAAATAGTCACAGAAAACTTTTACAGTATTAGTAATCTTGAGTATTTGTGTATTTAAATAATATTCTTTTAATAAAACGCGAAAATAAATCTCTCTCTCAAAGAATTAGACAACAATTTAACGAAAGAAAATTTTTTTCTAATAAACTCGGAACTATTTATTGAATTTTGATTAATATTTAAAAAAAAACATAACATCTTATAAATCTCTAATAAATTATCTAATAAATTATCATATCTAATAAATTATATAATTATTTTTTCGATAGACACACAATGGAATATATTATATCTCGGTCTATTCTCAATGATAAACCACTTTGAATTATATCATTATGATTTATTCTTTACGATCTTACAGATGACTTAACGCGTTCTGATCTGCAATCGTTCGCATTTCGAATATCATGAGATTGCATCGGAACAGAGCACTCGTTAATCTCTTTCTTTCCGTCGGAATTGTTACGCGTTACACGACGAATGACGTAATGGACGCATACATTGAAGCACAAATTCTTACATTGTCTGATCGAGTCGAGTCGACGTTGATCTGGCGGATATTGAAACTGGTACGACTGAAATGCACCACGAGAATAACATTTCGAACTGCCGCATGATTTATATCTCAATGAAAGTTGCAACGCCAATTCTGTGAGAAATTTTTACATCAACCGACAACGATTTATTGTGGCTCAGCTGCGAGGATCATGTCCATTTAAATAAGAATTTTTTACCTGAGATAAGCTGACACATTAAGTGAATCGATGTAATTTATCAAAAATAATCGGGGACATTATTTTATTAATTAATACATGATTTTGATATTTACTTGCGATTAATATTTGTACGCGAAATATTCATATATTACATGCTTAAACTTAAGATTTATTTTAAAATTATGATGTATTTCTTCAAAAAGAGATAAAGACCCAACATTCAACTATCCTAATGATAAATGACATTCAATATTTTATTTTATTAATAATTTTATTAATAATTTATTATATTTATTAATAATAATTTTATTAAATCATAATGTATAAAATTATAAAATATAATATAAAATTAAATAATATATTAAATTTTTTAATATTTTAATAATTAAATATTTTTAATAATTAAAGTGTCTTGTTGAATTTTAATTAACAAGTGCAATGGAAAGTTATCAGATTTCTTACTCGTGGAAAATCTAAAGCCGAAAAGTTGGCGAATCTAGAAGATCCATCTTGTGTATCCGGTAAAGAGTGTCACGCGAATACTCGGATGACAATTAGACGATGAGGCAACGTTGTGGTAGCTTGGTCACGTTATTTAGAGCGAGTGCATAACGCGGGCGTGTAATGACTCGTCCTCGTACGACTCAGGTCGTTCATTACACCAGGCGAGGTGGGTGACGACACTGTTGTAAGCGTAAAGCCGTAGCGCGGTTGTGCAAGAAGAAAAAAACAATGAATTAAGTAGGCAAAATCGCGCTTTCACGGTGCCTCCTATTTCGCGCGGCAATTAACTCAACTCGTCACACTTCCATTTTCACGCCAATTGTTCGACCGATTTCCACGACCCGAGATACAACCGATACTTTCGTCAATTTCCCTTTCCTTAATCTTCGCTGATCAACAGACGTCTTTTGCCCGTCTTATATTTTTTTTTATTATATTTTTTACACTTATGTAATATATTATCATGCGAATGTCGATTGTAAACGAGGATGAAGCTTGATGCATCTAATTTTAAATTGCAGATTGCAGATTGTCTAACGAAATATATTCGTTACGCGAAGCAACACGTCGATGTTCTATTGAAATGAACACTTTGAGTTGTGGCATGAAACACGCACTTTCAAAGAAGTAATTATGCTGATTCTAGCTACGATTAGTGAATCTTCGTGAGTGTTGGTCATTTAGGTTCTAAATTCGTATAATTACGTAAAATAAACGTGCTATTGCTCCGCGAAATACACGGGCTAACGTATAATTTTCATAATTTTTCCTCATGTTTTTCACATTGATTTAATCTTTCGTTATGTTCGCGAAGGAAAAATGATTACAAAATTAGATACCGATCGACGAAAGCATTTAGAGAAAATTGAATCAGTGTTAGTTAATCAAAATTGAATTTGTGTAAAACAATTGAGAATAAAATTTTGATATATCACGTTTTTCCATAATATCATTACTTACAGCTATTGAAACGTATAGACCTTTCTCCATTTTCGTTTGTTTAATTATATCTATTAAGATTATATTTATTATAAAAATTGTATTCATTAATTTTATAAAGATTGTATTTATTAATTTGAAGTGGTAATAAAATAAAAGGTATGAAAAAATAATTTTTTCAGTGTTCCTCTGGATTTTTAAATATTCACAATATCAAGTGTTTCTCTCAATTTTACGTTGCATTGTAAGAAGAAAGTATCAACTCGATTTTAAACTGCAATTTTCCTCATTTCAACGTCTAGAGCGGAAACGTCATTCGAGGCTCAAAAATTAAAGTGGTCTCTTCAAAACATCAAAGCAGATGCCGCAGCTCGTTTTCGATCGGTCGATTTTAGTATGTGTCCAAACTTTTTTCGATCATTACACATGTCTTTTTTTCGACACGCTGTAATAATGTACATTTTGAGAAGAGGTCTCTGCGATTAAGTTCGCGCCTGTAGGGGGGACCCTTCACAGACGTCAGTTACCTGCCCCATTAATTATCCCGACATCTTACTTCACTGGACGGATACGGCTTTCAACCAACTCAATTTAGCACTTATCACGATTCAGAACGATTATTTTTTCTCGCTCGTTTGTCGAGTCGCTTCTCATATCTGAACAAAGTTGGATCAACGCTTCTCAATCAGAGAAGATACTTAGGAATGACGAAGGATGTTTGAAGAACTTATAAATAATTTTGTGGAAAGATTTATGATCAACATGAAGAAACGAGATAAGGTGAAAGATCGCAAAGTTATGTGAAATGTCACAGTTACTACCGTCGTTGCTTGATATTTTCCTCCAGGCAATAGCGCTTTATCTGTTGCAAATGCGGATGTATCATTGCCTGCTACGAAATCAGGAGCGAGCATAACTAATACTACCGACAGTTAATGTAATTAAATGTCAAACACGTCACGTAAGATACGCTATGATACCGCAACGCTAAGAAGTGCATGTATCGGGTGTCCGTGCGGTTTTTGGCGAAAGAAACACGAACAAAATTAATATAACCCTTCATATATGCATAAAGTTATGGGAATAAAATTTCGTCACTTTTACGCGACGACCTTTTTAACGAGCTAGTTTTAACGGTTACTTCTTAAATGTGGTTTTACAATAAAAAAATGAAGAAACGTGAAAACATTTAC